TAATACACTACCTAAATACATTGTTTCATTATTTCCCAAACAACAATCAGATATACATTTATAAAACCAGATTTTCTAAAAGTAATGTTTTGTTTGAAAAATATACATCTCTTCATCGAAAAAATGCAATCTTCTACAATGGTCCTAAATTGTGGAACTCTTTACCTATTACGTTAAAAAATATCCCCAATCTTTCTTCCTTTAAAACCAAACTTAACAAAATTTCTGGTATCAGTATATGGCAGTTAAGCCTCTTGTTATATACTTGTTATATTATTTGTTATATTATCATCTTACTGTATTGACTTATTGTTGCTATGACTATCATTATTTTATGTAATCGCAATCCAGACTAACGTATCTACCGTACTATTTTTTAATCTATATTATTATGAATATTTTACTTTATTTATTTATTTATTCATTTCATACTTAAATCTTTTTTTTATTTAAATTTATATTTATATGTGTGTGTATGCTTGCATGTATGTGGCGGTGCTATTTTATATTATATTTATATGTGTATGTGTGTGTATGCTTGCATGTATGTGGCGGTGCGTTTGTGGGCATATGTATCCGTGTGTGTGTGTATATGTTTATATATATGTATAATATATTGTTGTTATTATTGTTATTATTATTATTATGTATTATTATTATGTATTATTATTTATTTATTTTAGTATTTATTATTATTGGTGGTCATGTCTTAAAATTTGTTTACAAACTTATTTTGACCTCCTACCGCACACTTTTTTTTTGTAATTTCAATTGTAATATTTATCGTTGATTAATTTATATTTTATGTGTGTGTGGTAAAAAACAATAAAACAAACAAACAAACTGGTTGCAACAATAGAATGATTAATTTCGGGCGAAATTAGTTGTTTAAATAGTGTCTTGATGACGAATTGAAGAGCGACCCGGCCGCCCCTCGCCCTAAATTGTTTTCAAATAATAATAGAAAATAATTTTTAAGTCTGAGAGCATTTTATGGCATGTCGATCCAGAGTTGCGATAATCATACATTTGTTTGCCTCAGCCCCAGCCATGGTGGGGCTCAGGTGGTACAGACTCTCAATCTGTGAAACTCCTGCATCCACCAACGATATGTCATTTATTTTGCCGTTAAAACGTTTAGAATACAATGACAAACATAAAATAAGCACATCTAAATTCATACGATGGATTGGCGACCGTGACCCAAACAGGGCCCCAGTCCCAGAAAGCCACAGGGCCCTCGACCCCAGCGTTATCATGGTGGCGATCACTTTCATCAGCATCCCCTTCCTTAAATCCTGGATATGCCACTGCCTCCCATGTCGTCTGGCATATCTTGGCTGCATCTTTGTTTGGTGATGATTTTACAAGATAAGTTTACGTAAAATCATCAATAAGCAAGAAATAGTGAAAAAATAAAGTGGCTATTTTGACAAATTTATTAAATCAATATTATGTTTGTAATAATTATAATTAATCTAGTATCCTAATATTGTACTGTAGTACCGTACATAATAGAATTTGAAATTGCCGCCAGCAGGGGCAAGCACGAGACTTTGGCCACAGTATCTGAGAATTTCACCATGTCCATAAAATATAACAAGTTACTTGCAACTCTCGGAGATTATCTTCGGCCGTTCAATTCAATCCAATCAGCAATTCAATGGCACTAATACTGCGATGAGTTTGCGAACAAAACAGTGGAATTTATTAGGTTTGTGTAAGTTAATAATAATGTTTTAAGATTCATATATTTCCTTTTATCTGCAGTGGATTTCAGTGGCGAATCCAGAGATGTTTAAAAGGTGGGGGGGGCCGAAAGTTGGGCCGATTAAGGCAACGCTGTCCTAGGGGGTCCGGGGGCATGCCTCCATGAAATTATTTTGTTCTAGACGCCCGAAAATAACATTTGAGGCGTTCTGAGCTATCATTTTTTCTTTTTCTTTCTTTTTTCTTTTTTTTTTTACCTCCCAAAAGGCGGGCCGCCTACTGCCCCCTCCCAAATCCGCCCCTAGATTTTATTAGGTTTGTGTAAGTTAATAATAATGTTTTAAAATTCATATATTATTTCATTTTATCTATTTGAAACAAACAGTGCATTTTATTAAGTTTGTGAGGGGGAGGACATTTTGTGAGTCGACACCCACCTCAGACCGACTATGGTTGAAGCTGAGGTGAGAAAATTTGAAGAAATAGTACCTCTAGATGGCCAGAAATTATATTAAAATTCATCATCATCATCATTATGATCAACAAATTACTACTTTTTCGCATTTTTCACAATTTTCATCACTTTTTAAACTTTTTAATGTTATTAATTTATTAATAACAATTATCACTATCATCATCATCATCATTTATTATTATTATCATTATTACTATATTACTACTACTACTATTAGTAGTAGTATTATTAAACAAAATTTAAAAGAAACTTGCAAAAGGATAAAAACAAAGCTGAACCATACAATATCACATTTCTATATCTTAAAAGACCTGGCCTAAGATTTATAGATTTAAGATTTTTTAAATTACGCTTATGCCTATGTGTGCTATTAGGCCTATATGTATAATGTGTACTCATGCATATTTACAAGTTTAGAAGAAGTATTCACTTTGAGTGATCCAGGAAAGAATTTGTATTGGCTCAAGAACAAGTTTTAAAATGTTAACACTGTGCACGAAGGAGGAGCTCCCACGGCTCCCCCCACCCCTGGACCCGTCCCTGATTACGAATGATTTCCCTGTACAGTATACCCTTAACCTGCGGCAAACGTTGCACTGTGATATTTATTTCACGCATTGATTACACTACACGACGTTCCATACAATAACCCTTATTTAAGCATGGAATATCTCTGTGCGGCCGAACCACGTCATTCCTAGGTTACAGCTTAGGTTAGGCACTAACTAGGCCTAGCTAGCTAGAAAAATCGATACTGAAACACTAACTAACCATCCATCCACTCAAACACGAACAGGCTTCTTATCTACCATATTGTTTCGATTGTTTTGTCATTCGTGTTGATCAGAAAACATTAAAATCACCCTGGCTAACACCGAAGAACAGGAACGCCACGCCTTCTCTCAACAAATATTGTACTACTATGGAACGCCGGGAAGCGATTTTTTTTCGTGAAGAGCCAAGTATAGGGAAACATATAAAGCGCTCTGATTGGATGATAAGATGACATCATCGCACAAGAGTCAACCAACTCGCACTCGGATACGGTGTGAGTAAGAGTGATCCAAGAAAGTTTTTAGCTTTCATTCACCTAGTGGAGACTGGTTTTCTCAGAGTAAGTTTTCAATATTATTACTGTATACGTAACCCACAACGATCAAGGTAAAATTGTAAGGAGGGATGCATTTCATGAGTCTATCTAGGCCCAGTCTAGGCAAGGCCTACCCTTGGCGTAGTTGAAAGATGGACCTACCCTCCCCATCCCATATCAATCATGATGCAAGATTAATGCAACACGCCTAGGCCTAGTTTGCATGACGAGTTCGCCTTCTTTCTCTGAAGAAGTACTTAGCAGAGCAACCTGTTTAAGGCCCATATAGTCTAATTTTTTTTCAACACCTCAATACTGTAATATAATAATTATTAATAAATAACTACCCTACAAAAACCGAAAGGTCCACTGATTGATCTCAGATAAGAAGTATAATGTAATACATACTACAAGTATTGAAATACACGTCATTGTGTTGGGATTCAATATTTCAACTTTAATTATGTCATCACCATCATTCCTCATGATGACATAATTAATGTATTATACTTTCTTATAATGCCAATTGCGCATTATAATAATGTTTATTGTAATACATACATTCAATTGTACATCTGTCTCTTATACACATCTAGATGTGTATAAGAGACAGCACCAAACCACTTCCCACCCTCTTTAAAATCCTTTAATCATTTGCATGTGTATCTCATTCATACTTTCTTCCCTGGTTATTCTCATTTTTTTATCATTTAATTTGAAAATCTTTTGTACTGCCAGCAACATAACACAACAAACATACACACGTTATATGCACGTTATCGTCTAGGTGTAGGCCTATCTTCCCCTAACTACCAGCCGGTATGTCAGTGTATAGCAATGAAGATAATATTTTGTTCTTAATTTTTCCGCAATTTCGACAGCCTCATTCTTCTTATAAAATGTGCTCTTATAAAAAAAATGTAAGTGATGTTGCTATTGAAACGTACAACGTTACTCGTATCATGATGATCCTTTTATACAGTATACCCCGTCACGGGTTCAATGGATAGATAGCGTATACATGCAGTATAATTATGCTTATACCTCTGTATATGTTTTCTGTCGATGCCAAGAATAAAAATGTTGATTAATTTATTTCAAATGCTTCTAGTTGTTTGAATCAGCTCATTTGCAGTCGCTTTTAATCCACTCTTTATATCAAACTTTGCTATTATTCATTTAAAAGCAGAATTGATTTTGAATTTTTATTCGTAATGGTTACAAATTTATACAGTAGTATTTTTCATTTAGGAAACAATTTGCTTGTTTCTTCATGTCCTCCACTGGTAATTTTTTGATAGGCCCTATCGCTGTGTTCACGGATATATAGAGATTAACATGATACAATTCCTTCAAATTAGTCTACTAGGACGTAAGAAAGCCTATTGTCCACAGCTCTCCAATACTTTTTATTATAATTATAATTTTAAAATTATAATGTTATACTTGAATAACAGCAAACTTGGCAATGTGCGATGCCCCCTTTCTTTATTATTCAGTTGCTCAAATTATTATTATTATTATTATTATTATTATATTCTGTACTTTTTTCTGATGTTACAACATTTTAACTATCTAGTCTTTTATTATAGGCCCCTATCCTTTTTTAATGAATATTATGTAACACAAGTGGTTGAGCGAGTGACGCCGCTCTGAGCTCCGGCTCTTTAGTCTAACGTTTTGCCCACTTCCTTGATGAACTTTTACATTAAATGTGGATTCTAAATGAAGGAAAATGTATTTAATGTTGCTACTTTCAATGTTAGAGGATTAGGCGACAAATTCAAGAGATATCAACTAGCAACAGATATAACAAATTATAAGGTGGACGTAGCCTGCCTTCAAGAAACTAAACTCACGGAGACGATTGACGAATACGTACACGAATGCCGATTTATCAACCTAGGCACTAAGGTTAAGTATTATGGATGTGGCTTCATTATTCACAAGCGATGGGCACCAAGTATTTCTAAATTTTGGAAAGATTCGGAACGAATATCAGTTCTACAACTTAAAACGAAAGAGAACACGTTTATTACTTTAATTAATGTCTATGCACCCACCAGTGACCGGGCAGAAAAATACCCGGCCGAACGTGAACGTATGTACAAGGAATTAGATGAACTCGTAAGTAAATTTGCAAATAAGACATTTCTTCTAATATGCGGAGATTTTAATTCAAAAATTGGCAAGAAACATTTAGATGAAGAAAAATGTATCGGAAATTATTCAAAAGGATTTCGTAATGATAATGGGGACGCCCTAATTGATTTTTGTGAAAATAACAATCTATTTATAACAAATAGCGCTTTTCAACACCCTGCAAGACACATCACAACTTGGGCATGTCAACGGAAAAACAAAGATGGACAATTAATTAATATTTACAACCAGATAGACTTTATTATTTGTAAAACTAAGTGCAAAACACTACTTTGTAACTCTAGATCATACGGAGGTACACAAGTAATAAGCGATCATAGAATCGTAATAACAACACTTACATTGACTTGGCATAGCATTAAACGACAACGAACTCAAACAATAGTAGGCAATTTGCATGTGAAACACTGGCGGATAAAGACAAACGAAAGAAGTATGTGGACAATCTTATTCAAAACACAACAGATAACAGAATACCTGATCGACCCAACAGAGCGTGGGAACATATAAGAAAAGTGATTAAAAGAGCTGCAGAATTCTGTTGGTTTCAAACAAAGAAATCAAAACAACAATGGAAATTACGGCGAAGAAATTCAAGATCTATCCGTTAAACAGAAAAACATACGGTTAAGGATTACAAACTGCAAAACAGACGACGAACGAAATATTCTTTAAAAAGAAAGAAACAAGGTACTACATGAAATCCAACACCGAATAAGTGAAAATAGAAACAATGAACTTGACGCTAAAAGCTATGACATTGACCAAGCCGTTAACGGCGCCAGAATGTTTAGAGCGGTAAAAGAACTTTATAGAAAAGAATACGAAATTCCAAAAGTCGTAGATGGCAGCGGAAAATTTATTGGAAACGATCAGGAAACTGCTAGGGCCATTGGTAAACATTTTAAAAGTAAATTCTACAACATAAATGGTCCGATCATCGCACCATTCGAAGGACAAGGAAGGCCTCTTATAAATAAAATAACAAAATCCGAAGTTTACAAAAGTTTGAAAAAACTAAACAATAATCGCTCAGCTGGAGAAGATGAATTAAAGGGTGAACTACTTAAATATGGTGCAGATGTTCTGTCGCCTATTATAGCAAACATTTTCAATAATATTTTCATAATGCATGAACAAATTGATATAAATAAAGGTATCCTCGTCGCACTACAAAAACCTGGTAAGGGTCCGATGAAAAATCTCAGACCTGTCATATTACTCAACACCATCAGAAAATGCATGTCACTGATTGTGCTAGAAAGAATCCGCCACAAAATTGACAGCTACCTACCAACAAGTCAAAGTGGATTCCGACCTGGACGCAGCACAAGCGACGTAGTTCTGACTTATAAATGGATGATTGCCAAAACATCAAGATACAATCTTGAATTCCACATCACTGGGATTGATATGACGAGTGCATTCGATACCATTAACAGGGACACACTTTTACAAGTACTGAATGGGATTATTAATGAAGACGAACTTCGGATAATAAGATTTTTGCTAAGCCAAACAGGGCTCAACTTAAACTTACGAAGGACTTTAGACAACGTATATTTTGATACGAATACTGGAGTACTACAAGGGGACAGTCTTAGCCCAGTGCTCTTCACGGTGTACCTTGAACACGCGTTAAGGGGAATTAGGGGGAGAAGTAATGATCATATTCCAAATGAGATCTCGTATGCGGATGATGTCGATTTCATCAGCCTAAACGAGAAGGCTAATGTAGACCAAAGATAAAACAGAATACACAGTAATTAAAAGAGAAGAACTGGTCAAAGAGAACTGGAGACCCTTCTTCCCTTCTTGGAGACAAAGAAGATATCACCAGAAGGAAACAACTTGCTGTGAACGCAATGAACAAAAAGACAGCACTCTGGAACAGAAAAGAAAAAATTAGATTAAAAACAAGACTGAGGTTGTACAACTCACTAGTGAAACCGGTGCTTTCATACAATAGTAATACATGGGCCTTAACGAAGGATGATGAACTAAAGCTAAACACTTTCCATCGGAAGCAACTCCGAAAGATTATTGGACTGAAATATCCTCATAGAATATCAAATAAACACCTTTAAGATAGATGTACGGCGAGACCCTTGCCACTAGAAATTTTAGAATCGAGATGGCGATTATTTGGCCACATCCTGAGACAAAACAGGAACAATCCTACAAACCTGGCAATCAACTTCTACTTCACCGAGACCAATAACAGAAAATTCAGGGGACGTCCAAGGACTACAATAATCACAACTCTCCATAACGACCTTAGTAAGATCTAGTCTACCACTACTCAATATCCTGCTCAACTAAAAATTAGAAATGATATGGAGAAATTAAAATTACTGGCACAAAACAGACACATTTGGAAAGGGCTCATCGAGGAACTAAGTAAAGCGGCCGAAGCGGAACTGTCATCGGACTTTTCGGCGATACGGCAATGATGATGATGATGACAAGTAACATGCAATTTGGTCTTTGACCACCTTATTGTTTGAGATGTGATGTTTGAATAAATAAAGTAATGTTTTTAAATATCAACCAACCTACAAATAAGCAGCAACCCAGGTTTTTTTGATAAAATATTTCATCAAACTGCTATAGTTTTGAATGCACAGTACAGCACAAATAAATACTTGAATCTGGTCTTTTTAAAGGTCCATGAAATGATACCACAGAGTGGGAATTTGGCCTTTTGGGATTCTTCTGGATGGAATGCTGACTGATCTGATAGACATTGCGTGTAGCAAAATGTATAGAACCATCTCATCACTACCTTCAACACAGCCAATTCCAGATGAATGCCTAACCAAAATACATGAGCAAATGTACATAGTAAAAATCAAGATGTTGTCTATAATGTCAACATAAGTTTTAGAACATTTAGGAAAGACACAGTTGGGTAATGGAAGGTTGTGCAAAGAGAACATTGTACTGGAAAAATGTTCCACTCAGTACTTCTTGAATGCAAAAAGAAAGAAGGTCTCCCATAACATAGAGTATACAGAAAACCAAAACCTTGATAAAACTTATTCTTCAAAGTTAAAAAATGTAAATTACACTCTTTCCAAATAGACCTAATAGTAATAGTTTAAACTGTACCACTTTGGAAAAATATATATTGCATTATTTATTTAATAAATAGATAAAGATTGTGATTGTAATGGTCACACATCTGCTTTACTCACTGTTCTGTACTATTATATTTATTACTGTATTTGTTAGCTAATATCTAATATCTCCATTTGTTAGCTAATATCCGTTATCTCCAAAATTATTGAAAGAGCGGTTTTCGATCAACTATACTCATATCTAGTTTTTCATAACTAATGTTTGAAAATCAGTCGGGTTTTCAGCCATTCTTTTCAACATCTACGGCCCTATTAAACATAATAGAAAAATGGTGTAGTGCCGTGGATGATGGAAAATGGTCGGTTTATCGCTACTTGATTTCAAAAAGGCGTTTGATACTGTTGATCACAAAATATTACCGTTACTGTGTAAACTTAAACTTTATGGCCTTAGTGAGTATTCAATAAAATGGTTTGAAAGCTACCTATCTGAAAGGACTCAATTGACCATCGCAAATAATACTAAATCAGATACTACTCAAATTACATGTGGAGTGCCACAAGAATCAATTATTGGACCGTTGGCTTTTTAAATTTATATAAATGACCTACGGTACCAAATGCCGTACAAAAATGTGAGATATGCATGTATGCCGATGATACTATTATTTATTATAATTCTAATAACGAATATGACATTATTGAAACTTTAAATAAGGACCTAAAAAATGTATATGAATGGGTCAAAAGCAACAAATTGAGTTTAAATGTTTCAAAGTCACAATTTATGCTAATCGGTTCAAGCCAAAGACTAAATAGTCACAGCAATGGGATATTAACAATTCAGATAGGTAATAGTCCTGTAACCCGTGTAAAAAGTTGCAAACACTTTAGAAATAACCATTGACGAACACCTATCATGGAGTAAACACATTGAAAACACAAGAGTAAAGGCTCTAAATGGTTTATAAATATTAAAAAGATGTAAATATGTAATGCCAAATGATATCCTAGAAACTATTGCTAATTCCATTGTATCGCCTTACTTAATCTATAGTAATGTTATAATGGTAAAATTTCGAAAAGAAGATTTTGAAAAGAATACAAACTGTTCAAAATAGGACTGCGAGATTGGTGTGTAACCTAAATTGGGACACACCAAGCAATATACGGTAGCCCTTAAAGAAGCAAATTGGCTCTCTTTATCTCAACGTGATGAATGCTTTAAGATTCTGTTGAAACAGGCGCCCACTTATTTACAAAATAATATATTCAGGAAGAAGGAAAAAAATATATGTATATTCAAAACAAATTCCATTGTATCGCCTTACTTAATCTATAGTAATGTTATAATGGTAAAATTTCGGTTCTTCGATTTTGAAAAGAATACAAACTGTTCAAAATAGGACTGCGAGATTGGTGTGTAACCTAAATTGGGACACACCAAGCAATATACGGTAGCCCTTAAAGAAGCAAATTGGCTCTCTTTATCTCAACGTGATGAATGCTTTAAGATTCTGTTGAAACAGGCGCCCACTTATTTACAAAATAATATATTCAGGAAGAAGGAAAATATATGTATATTCAAAACAAATACTTTTAATTACAATTTCCAGCATATTGCAACAAATTTATTTATTTATTTTTTTGGTTTATTCCTAAACCAAACACAATTTTAAAAAACGTTCCATTTCATATAGAGTTGCAACGTATTTGAATGCTTACAATTTTGACTAAAATGAAATTTAAAAAATTCCATATCGCACTTTCCAAAATAACATTATACAAATGATTAAAAATATATATATATAAAATAAACTGAGAATTTAATAATAATAATAAAAAAATAAATATAATAATTATTACAATTACAATAATAATATAATTATAATTTAATAACAATAAATAATTTATTAGTAAATGATTTTCAACCTAATGTAGTGTATTTTACTGTTTTGTAATTTGAATTTTTTAATGCTTTTATATTTTAGATGTTTTTATATGTAATTTTTCTCGATCTTGTGGAAGAACGATTATTTTAATCGAACAAGTTTATTTGTAATTTTTGTGCTTTTATTTTCGAGATGAAATAAAGTTTTATATATACAAAAACAATTAAGGGTTGCCTTGATATTAGCTGTGAATTATCTCTGTTAATTTTACACTTTATTATATCATTTATAAGCTGGTTTTATTATTTATAATTCGAAAAAAAAACAATAAAGAAAAATAACATAACAGATTTAATATTATTGATTATTTATTTTTATTATTATTTTTTAATTTACTTGTTTCAATTTTTATAGATGCGCAATTTTGTGCGAGTGTAAATGCACAAGGAGAGAACAATATATATTGTATAGTAGTGAAGAATTGACTTTCCTGCTTAGATTTATACATTTAAAATACAGATACAAATACCTTGAACTATATACGTTATATGGTTAATAAAATAGACACCATCAATGAATAATATTCATACTGCGCAGATTCAGAGGAAGAAAATATAAATTAAAGTGGTGCAATACACTAACTTTTATTAATAATAATTATGATTATTACTGTTGCTGTCGTTGTGAATACTAACTTTTGACAGCTTTACTATCACTATACACTATTTGTATATTGATTGGCTACCATAAACAGACATAGACAGGTAGGTAAAGGAAAGACTAATAATACTGTGCCTTGTTTAGTGAACTTTTATTTTATAGAAGCCGTCATGCGGGAAGGAAAAATTATTTAGCAAAATGATTTTGCCAAAAGCATTTTGGTGAAGGACAAATATTGGTAATATATTGGACGTATTTTGGTATTTTTTTTTTTTTGTATTCGCTAGTCTAGGGAATTTGCACGTAGGAAAGAGCCTATAATAATAGCAGGACGTCATCTTTAATAAATATTTATTTGAACGTGCCTTTGTATCGGCAGCACCCGCATATGCTGTGCAGTTACTCTTTTTTTATTATACCATTGACATTTAATATTTATTCATCTAATTGCATAACTCAGTTAATTTAGAAAAGCCAAAAACTGAATACAGTATACTTCCAGGCTCCTACTATGTAACCTGTATTAACTGTATTTTTTATCACAAACATAATGAACAATGCTTAGCATTGGCCAAAAACAATTTTCACATCATTTTGTGGGATTGTAATGTTACTACTAGATTTTGGCAAAAGTATTATTTGCAAAATCAGTTAGTTTTACTGTATTTTTACAAGATATTTATCTTGGATATTAATGATGTTGGCAGTAAGCATTTCAATTATCAATTTTTTTTCTTTATTTAAAAAATGATAATTTATTTTGTATTGTCAGACATTTTCTGCCAGATTGGCCTTAATATGTATATTATATTGTGTATTTATGGATGATCTTTGAGATATTAACCATAGTTTCTCGTATCGCTTATGGTAATAAAGACAACTGATATCTTGTATCATATTTAAAAACTAAAGTTACACATCTTTAAACAAACAATATACCGGTTCATTTTTAATAAAAACTCTATTTTTGTTGTTTTGTTAAAGAATTAGGTATACAATCTAGCATTTAAATTCAAACAAATTGCAAACAAAGGTTTTTCTTTTATAATCATATACATATAATGAGAAGATGAAATTCCAGAAATCACACCTCGGTCACACATTGGGAACATATGCAAATTAGTTAAAAATATGCAAATTATGTTAAAAATATAGGGTCCTAGTCGCAGATTAACTAGCTTGTGAGCTACACCGATTTTAATTGATTTTGTTAAACCTTGCCTCCTTAGATTTTCAGTTTTATTCTGTATTGTGAATTTTTTTTTACTGTATGTGCAAATGTGATTTTTCTAAAAGGCTAAATAAAGAATGAATGAATGAATGAATGAATGAAAATTGCATTTTGTTCCAAATTAATCAGAACATGCATGTTTCTATTTGCTCTAATAAAACATTTGCCTCAAAATGAACGGAAATGCTACATTTGACCTCCGACCTTATATTCACTGAGTTTGTATATATGTGTGACTAATATAGGCCTACATAAAAACCTATTTTAGGTCTTAAATTGTTCAAATGCATGTTTCTTTGCATTATAATAATAGAAGGGTTAAAAATGTATAATCATACCATGGTCACATGTACTGTTTTATTTTATTCCTTTCAGCCAGTACAACAACAAAATCAATAAAAAAAAGATAAAAAAAAAGAGGAGGGCTGAGGAGTGGCAAAAGCGGTATAAAGCTACTATCACCGGATATTGTGTGCCCCTCCGTCTTCATATGCATATTAGCTGTTAATTATGAAAATTAAAAATGAAAATATAGGGATCCCATATCATAATGTACTCCTCTCCTCTCTTTCTCTCTCTCTCTCCACAAACATGTCGAAAAACGTATTTTATTACTAGCATAAAGTCAAAGTTTAACTTTTCAAAGTTTTATTTCACAAACGTATCCAGCTTTATCTAGGTTGCAATCGCCATACACTTCTTGGTTCCACAGGTCCAGATAAACACAATCACCTGCACGGAAAGTTGCATCAGTTACAGGATATTCTTTAATATCGACCATACTTCCATTGCTGTAATAGTAGGTCGATCCGACATAGTTCCAATCCAAGTAGACATTGAATACCCACATATTAAAATGATATAGTATGGCAAAGTCATTGGGAGATGTCACGGAAATGTATGATGCAACCTTTGTGCCAATAGTGTACTTCTCGCACATCGTACTGTCTTCAATTTCTGGTAAATCCACCTCGTATTTGTTTACCTTGATGCATCGGTTTCCAGGAATAGTGTACCAGGTAGATGGACAACTACTGTCACACACCACAATAAAAAGCAGCAAAATCAGGAATTTTACCTTTGGAAACAAAATGGATTGTGTTTGACGTACAGCGCACTTCCTTCAGTGTTTACACATGCTATTTAATCCTTATTTTATATACACATTAAATATATAAAACCATCACGAAACTATATTATGATGCTCATGTTACATAACTATAAAAATGCATAGATAAAATATAAACTAACAGCATTTAGAAAAATAAAAATCTACCGAAATAAAACAAAATAAATAGTGATTATATTGACAAGTATTAAGTACCTTGTGACGCTGTCTCTTATA